ATGAAATGTTTTTGCTAGAGTCTTGCAAAAAATAGGGCATGAGGACAAGGAGGGAAAGATTGGTTCTGCCTCTTCCCTGGCTCTGCACAGGACAGTGGTGGTGAACCTCCGGCACGCGGGCCACGGCAGGCACGGAGAGCCCTCTCCGTCGGCACGCGAGCCAAGTCGCCCCAGCATCACCCCAGCAGCCGAGCATTGGATAACGGCGCACATAGGAGCCATGCGCATGGTCGGAAAGGAGTAGCAGCGCCAGGCGATGAAGTCACAAACCGCGACTCATTAGCCGTGACTCATCCGAGTTTTCGCATGGCCAGTCAGTGCGCTGCCAAGGATATAAATATATTTGCTCGGACTGGCTGTGAGTTGTTTTTTCTCAACTAAAACCTCAGTTTTCGGGTTTTGTTGCAGTGTTAGCACTTTGTGATAAACAAGTGGGTTTTGGGTTGCAGTTTGGGTACTCAGTCTCTAAAAGGTTCGCCATCACTGGGTTAGGGTTAGAAAAACAAGGTGCCCTGGTAAGATTTTGATGCTTCGAATGTTTGTAGAATGGGCAGAAATGATGAGCAGTGCAGAAAAAGCTACTCAAGGAAGTGTTTTTCAAAATCGCCCTCTTTTCAATGGAACTTTTGCCCTCTATTAGGGTTAGGGGTGCGCACCAGGGTAGGGTTAGAGTTAGGAAAACGAGGTGTCCTGGCATGACTTTGATGGTTGGAATGTGTTTAGCATGGGCAGAAATGATGAGCTGGGCAGAAAACACTACTCAAGGAAGGCTTTTTCAAAATTGCCCTATTCTCAATGGACCTTTAGCCCTCTATTAGGGTTAGGGGTGTGCACCAGGGTAGGGTTAGGGTTAGGAAAACGAGGTGTCCTGACATGATTTTGATGGTTGGGATGTGTTTAGAGTGGGCAGAAATGATGAGCAGTGCAGAAAAAGCTACTCAAGGACGGCTTTTTCAAAATCGCCCTCTTTTCCATGGAACTTTAGCCCTATATTAGGGTTAGGGGTGTGCACCAGGGTAGGGTTAGGGTTAGGAAAACGAGGTGTCCCGGCATGACTTTGATGGTTGGGATGTGTTCAGAATCAGCAGAAATGATGAGCTGTGCAGACAAAGCTACTGAAGGAAGACCTTCTGTATTCAGTGGGCCTTTTTCAGAGGAAAATGCTCATAGGATTTCTGTCTTATCTGGTGAATGTAGATGTGGATCCACTTAATTCCTCCCATGAATCGGCTAACAATTTCTTTAAAGAGGCAATGGTCCTGTTACTAATTAATTAATCCATTGACTGGATTCATTTGACGGCTATTTCATTAACAGTTTCCAAACTAGGCCTTTGGTTTTCGCAATGTGAAACATATACAGAAGGGGGAGCTTGACCAGTTGCATTTCTGCCTGTCTTGCAGCAATCCATGTAGGGCAACTTGGTGAGATGAGGCAGTGAGGACCAGGACATGGGTGGGCAACTGAAGGCCCTCCAGATGTTGATAGACTACAGCCCCCATCACTCTCGGCCAAGCCTTGCTGCAGAGGCTGATGGGAACTGGGAGCTCCACAACAGCTGAGGGGACATGAGTTGTCCCCAGATCGCCCACAGCTGGGTGGGACTAGAACCCGGATCTCCTGGAACCCAGTCCAGCCCTCTAGCCGCAACACTACGCCAGATCTTGGCAAATTTCATGCTTTCTCGGTCCTGCTTGTCCCGGGACGCCTTGGCGCATGGGCCTTCACGGCCTGTGAGGCCTTCCAGGGCTGCCATTTTGAGGACTGTGCAGTGGCGGGAGCAGGGCCCTCGGGGGAGGCTCAGAAGCAGCCATGCCTGCTCCTGCGGAAACTGTTCCTCGCTGCCTCGGCTGTCAGGAGCGATCCATCTCTTCCGCCGAGCCTGTCGCCTCCGATGCTTCGCCCCAGTTCCTCGTGCACCCGGCTGGGGACGCCCCCCTCGCTCTCCGCCCGCGGCAGGCTGGTGGCCTCAGTTTACCCTGAGGCATCGTGAGAGGACACCCACCACCCGGGACTCTCCCATCGGGGCACCCTTGCTTGGCTGAAGCTGAGAAACCACCCAGCGTGGAAAATGGATCGATTCTCTCTTTCCCTCTCTCTGTGTTCCCTTGACCATCCGCAAAGCACTCCCCTCCTCGCTCAACCCTTTTGTAATCTGGGTAGGAGAGCAGAGAAACTTGTGTTCACAAGACCTCTTGTCCGGGAAATAAAACAATCTGTACATCGACTGGAAGGAGAGTTAAAATCGATCAACAGCCAAACCCTCAGCTTTTAAAAATTATTATTTGCAGGAGAGACGCCCTAGGCATGAAATCCTGGTCCAGGGGTGCACAACGCACGGCCCACGGACTTTGTGTAGTTCGCCGAGTCTCTTTGGGCAGCAGGCGATCTAGCAAGAAACGGGCAAATGGGCCGACGAAGAGCAAACCAGCAGTATTTGCAAGAGGACGGCTTGCAGAGCCTTCAGCCTGTTATAGCATGTGTGAGACAGAACGCCTTGCTCAGCACACTGTGAAGCGCAAGCTAACAGCAATGCTGTTATGCTCTCCCTCGCCCTCTGACCCCTTTCTGCAGGCCCCCTCGCTCATCCTAGGCCGGGTTCCTTCTTGCTCCCTCTTACCTAGGAACAGTTCTCCTAAAGCTGCATACACACAACCTTTCTCTTTAACCCTGTGTTTGCAAGCACGAAGGAGCCCCCGGCTTCTCCAGTCGCTGCCTCCCTGCCGCACTGATTCCGTCAGGAAATACGCGTGCAAAGAAGACACGCCTTGTTTCCTTGCAGGATTGGGGCCCCACAGCTTGCCGAAGAGCTTTGGGGAGTGGTGAGGTTGTGGCCCCGGCAGGTCCTGGGTGGTGGTGGGGAGCGGGGGCATACAACCTCCCAGCCCTGCAAAATTTGACCACTCCTGCTCCAATAGCATATCTTGTTTGCTCAGTTCTGAGAGCCCTAAGTGGTGTGTTGCTAAAGGCATCCAGAGGAGACCAAGGTGGAGATGGCAGGTCTAAAGACCAAATCCTATCAGGCACGTTTATTTATTTATTTATTTTTCAATTTATATCCTGCCTTTTTCCTACAAAGGGCTCAAGGCAGCTTACATCATTCTCCTCCTCCATCTTATCCCCGCAACAACAACCCTGTGAGGTAGGCTGGGCTGAGAGGCTGTGACTGGCCCAGAGTCACCCAGTTGGCTCCATGGCTGTGCGGGGACTCGAACCCGGATCGTCTGAGTCCCAGTCCCGTGCTCTTAACCACTACGCCACACGGGCTCTTGAAGGCACTTGGCAAGCTTAGACCAGAGAAGAACATCACGGGTTGATCTCGTCAGGTATCCAAAGGACCATCACATACATGGATGGAGCAAATTTGTCTTCAGCCCCTGTAGGACCCAAATCGACAGGCCCAAATTGCAAGAAGAAGGATTTTGGCAAAATATTAGAAAGAACATACTGATCATAGGATCTATCCAACAGTGGAAAAGTAGCTATCTAACCCTGGCAGACTCTTCTTCGTGAGATGTTTCTAAACGAAGCTGGAAGGCCACCTCATAGGGGCGTTGTAGCAATAAATGGCAGCGAGTTGAGCCCCCTTGGTGGCTCCAGGTTTCTGTAAGAAGGAGTTCATTATGAGCGGTTCTGTGTTATTTTGGTGCCTTCATATCCCCACTTTCCTTCAAGAGGCTCAAAGTCTCAGCACGGACCGTTCTCCCCATATTATCCTCAGAAGAACCCTGGGAGGTATGCTGACAAAATTGAGATCAACCAGGGACTTTCTATCTTTGGAATTCGAGTTTTTGGTTTGTTTTTCAATGTGCTTTAAAATGTTTCCATTGAGGGATGGTTTTGAAAAGCTTCAGTCCTGAGCTGTGTTAGGTGATTTCATCGCGGCCTAAAGCAGCCTTTCCCAACCTGTGGCTTACCAGATGGGAATGATGGGGTTTGTAATACAACACATCTTGAGGAGACCTGGGTGGAGAGTGCCAGCTTAAACCACTTCCTAAAATCTAAACCGAATCCCTAAGGCAAAATTCTGAAAATTCCAAATTAGGAGAATATAAATTCTTCCCTTCCTTGTTTTTACATGTTAATTCAAGGGAAGAAAATGGGCTTGTGACTTTTTCAGTTCAGTTCTACTGTAATTATCTTCGTGATAAAGGGAGACGCGTCACATGGATTCCACAGGATCTTCTTTTGTTTCACTCTGATGCTGCAGATTCTGGTGTTGTCAGAATCCCGGAATCTCAATTTGAGAAGAGGGAATAAAACGCGGGTTCGTGGGAAAGACCAAGCATCCAGACCGTCTGAGGCTTTATTGTTTTACCCCCCAAGGTTCCTGGGGTACTCACGATAATGCATGCATTACCAGGCAGGCAGAGATGAACTCTGCTGCCAAGCTTCAACACCATTACAGGGCATTTATAGGTACACAGGTACAGGGCAATTGATGACAGAATGCAGAGATTACAAGAAGATTCTGAGGTCATTGCATACAGAACAGATAAAGGAATGTCAGTCAATCACACAGTAACAATGGGATTACAATATTTCTAATTGCCTGTATTGACACTTTAGTTCAGTAGCTTGAACCCATCTCCAGGTCTGCTTAAGACATGTAAATTCAAGCCACTGAAACTATGCATGAGCTCAAGACTCTCCTCTAGACAATTCAGACATTCTGAATTGGCCAGGACACGTGGAGCCCTGGGATAGGAAGATACTTCCCTGAATTCCAGCAATGACTATTTACAATGTAAATTTGGGCTAAAATGGCCTGTCTGCTGTAGCCTACAGCTAAAGGTGAGAGAAAGGAGCGGGGGGGGGGGGGGAATGCCTTTTTAAACAGTGACAGCTTGGTTTTGAGAAGGAAGACAGGATTTGATCGCACCATGCAAAGGCACACAGGAGTAATGCTTTTCAGACAGGATTTATCCAAATTTTCCCAACAGTGTCAAGAGCAATTCCAGGCCCCCTTTTCCGCCTGGAAGTGGATCCGAAGCTTACATATGGTGGGTGTGGAGGACGCGGCCGATCAGTGGAAGCCCCACATTCTTGTTCTAACCTTGCAACCCTCCTTTCCAGACAGCATCCGGAAGTTTCTGAACCGGCCTGCCATCCATCTCCTGGTGCGCGTGAAGCTCGAAACCAAACCCAAGAAAAATGAAGACCGGGTGCTGGTGAGAACCATCTTGGGATGGGAGGAGAGACAGGAGCATAATTTTGGGGGCCGTGATGGTGGAAAGGGCTGCAGGGGGTAGGGAAGCCGTCCTTGGCCCTCCGGCCATTCTCCAGATGGCAGCACCCTTTCCCCATTTTCCCCAGCCATGGATCATTTAGTGGTTTTCCAGTTTTATGGATTCCCAGTTTTTAAGGATTGCTCCAAGTAAGACCTTTCTTTCAATGACAACATGGCGGCATTTTTGTGTTTTGGCTCCTCCCCCTTTTGGCTCCTCCCCCTTTTCCTTCAGCCCCTCCCTCAGGAAGCAGCTCCCGGATGGAATCTGGCCCTCGGGCTCTCTGCGCTTGTTCACAGACCACAAACACACACACACAATCAATATCTAACCTTACAGTGAGTCTCTCCACTTGCTATTTCCAGAAATCTTTGGGAGGAGCCATCCAGCCATATCAGAATGCCAGGAAAACCTCCCCTCATTCCCTCTAACAGCTACACAGCAGGCAGAAGTTCACTAGGTATAGCTCTTCTCACTTCCTGCAGGGAAGAGCTTTACCTGTTGGATTGTGTTTCTTCTGCAGCTGGTAAAGCTTAGCTCTTGACATTCTGTTTGCTAGAGCGAAACCAACCTCTTTGCGGGGTTGATTCCTCGGCTTGTAGGGGTAATCCTAATGACTTTCTTCGCTGGACAGTTGTGAGTAGACGTACCATGCAGATGTTTGATACATCACAAAAGCAAGGTGCGGCTATTGTGGTGGCTGGGAGAGGGAAGGAACTTCTCGTATACATGCCTCGGACCCCAAATCATGCGTCCTCCCCCTTCCTTCTTCCCGCTTCAGTTTTTCCCACCCCAGAGATGCCCTCTCCCCCGACACACAGACCTTTTCTTCCCAGCAGTTGTATAATTAATTATTCCATGTTTATCTCTTTCCCACTCCAAGCGCCAGGTTACACGGTTTGACCCCTCTCTCTTTCATAAGCATAATGCCGAACAGAAAGAAAGTGCTTGGCCCAAGCCTTGGTACCTCCGTCTCTGCAGTCATGGACTGAAGTCTTTGGCCTGCAATTCCCAGAATCCCTGACCGTTGGCCACACTGGCTGGTGCTTCTGGGACTTGTAATACCAAACATCTAGAAGGCCTCAGGTGATCTGCCCCAGGCAGAAATCAATACACACACTCCGTGAGTGTGTCTAACCCTCACAATAAAATGCAGATTCACGGCCACTGAATTCTTCTCTCTTTCTGGTAGGTTCTTACCACGTGGCGTATCTACCTTTTTGGGCTTAAGGTGCCGGCCAAGGTGAGTGAACAGTGAAAAGAAGAGCAGGGAGTGTACAGAGAGGAGGTAATCCAGTTGCTAGTAATCTGGTTTGACGCTTCTCTCCCGTCTTGTCCAGGTCGAGTGCTCTTTCAATGTCCTGGAGATCCGAGCATTAAACGCACTGAATCACAACCAAGTAAGGAGACCTCTTTTCTCCAAAGACATTCCACGGATATCTGGAGGCAGATCCCTAACCTCTCTCTCCTTCCCATGTTCAGATCCTGGTGGAAACAGAGAAAGCAAGCTACAATTTTAAATTCCCCACCCCAGAAAGTGCCGACCAGGTCACCAGACACGTCAATACCGCCTTAGCCAAAATTTTCCCGAGCCCGGCTTCTGTGTGAGTTTGTGGTGGCACCAAAGGTGTCGGGTGTGAGGGTGGATGGGTTTTCAGCAATTGTTAAAATGTGCTTCCGCAGCGCCTTGCTGTGCAGGCATCCACAAAGAATCAAGGTCAATTTCTCTACTCTGGGAAGCATTGCTTATTTCTGGGCATCGCGCTGTTCTTAAGGGCAGGTGAGCAGGCTGGACCATCTGTTATCTAGTCAGTTGGCAACCTGACTGCAAAAAATGGACACAGCTCAATGTGAAAAGGAGAACTTGGCAGCTGCGCTATTTGTGGGTGGTGTGAGCAGGTACCTGAAGGATTTAACAAGTGTGGTGTGTTGATTAAGAATGCCCATTTGGGGATACAGTAGACTCTCGACTATCCGGCCTCCATACTATCCGGCCTCCGTACTAACTGGCCTAGTTAAAAAATAACTATCAATGAACAGTAAAATAAGTTTAAATAATTTTTGTAAGAATTAAGCCTACGTTTTACGTAATGTTTTGTTTATTTTAAAAGTGTATGTATTCGTACTGTACAGTGTACATGATTTTATGTTTCCTGCAATTAAGTTAGACATTATAACATTTATCTTAACATGTGTACAATATTTTTATCTGTGGACTTCTTTTTTCTGTAATAAATTTTTAAAATGTACAGTACATAAAAAACATTTACAAAGTACTGGCCTGTACTAAGAGGTCAGAAAATATGAATAAGGGTGGGTTTTGGTATAAAAAGGGTGTTTTTAATGGTATGGGTGGGGTAGGAAATGAGCATTTATAGAACTCTGGCCTATCCGGCCTTTTTGCCATCCGGCCTGCCCTTCCGTGCCACATGAGGCGGGACAGTTGGGAGTCTACTGTATCTGGTTTTAGTTCCCACCCCTCCGTGAAGCAATTTGGGCAGTCACTCAGCTTGACCCACCTTGCAGGGTTGTTGTGGTGAGGACAAAATGGGGTGGAGCAGGGCTGTATAAGCAACCTTGAGGTTCTTGTGAAAGGAAATATGGTGGGACATAAATACAGGACGATGATAAGCATCACCGTAGCAGCAGTAGGAAAAAGACTGGACTCGCACTCTGTCACATCGCTTCTCTCCACTTCTGGGCTAAAACTGACGTGCTTTCCAGTTCCACCACAAATGAGAATATGGCTTGCACACTGCACCGCACGGGTGCCTAAAGCTGGGTGTGCTGCATTTCGTTCCCCCCGAGGCCAAATTCCGTTCTGGAAAAGCCTTCCAGGGACGGGTGAGTCTCAGGCAAGAGGACATGGCTTAAAATACCAAACATGCCAGCGTGTTTGGGGTTGAATCTCTTGCTTCCAGTAATTCAGGCCTTAGGGGAACCATTCTAGCCCTTTAGGACGGGGGACTGCACTGATGTTGGGAAACGCACAAGTGTTGGGTGTTGTGGGGAAGCCCGGTGTGCAGAGTTTGACACTGGGGCTGCGACTGTGTGACCACCCTGGCCAGGAGGGATGCAGAGAGCCCAAGGGCCAAACAACACCATGGCTGTTTTGGCCAATAAGCCCTAGCCAAACAAGCCAGTGGGAAGGGATGATGGGAGTCAAAACCCAAACATCTGGAGTGCAGGCGATTGTCCACCCCGGCGTTAGGACCTGGGGGTCCGCCCCGTCTCTCCAACCGCTTCTCTTTCCCTGCAGCTGCCTCATACGCCATGGGAACGTGGAGACGCCGGAGACGCCACGGGACATGTCCCCCAATTCCGAGAGTTCCAGTTCCACCACACACAGCATTTGCGGTGAGAAAGGGGGCCGGGAGCCCCCTGGTCACTGAAGGACGGCAGGGAGAGGCGGGTGGAGTGCTCCAGGCCTGGCAAGGTTTCCGGCTTTGTCGGACGTGTTCCGGAGAGCCAGGCAGCGCAATCTTCATTCATGGGAAATTATATGAAATTTTAATTACTGCTGCTGCATTATCCACTTAACCCACTGACCTGAATCCCAGAAGGGCTTCCGGAAAAACACACAAATTGCCTCGTTGGATCAGACTGAAGGTCCATTTAGGCTGGCATTGTGTCTCCAGCCCAAGCAGCCAGGTGGGCCCAGGTGGCTCACAGACAGGGCCTGGCAAGCAAGCGCCACCTCCTCTTGTTTGCCTCTGACATCTGACGATCGGAGATAGACTACCCCTAGATGCAGAAGCTCCATTGGGAGTGATGGCGGCCAGGTGGTTCTGTTTTGTATCTCTGTGGCAAATAGATTTGGCGAGATGTCTCTTCCGTCAGTTGGTGTAATCCTTTTCTTTAAGCTGCCCAAGCTGGTGTGTATCACCGCTCCTTGTGGCAAGGAGTTCAACTGTCCAAAGAGCCAAGTCCTGCGACACCTCACAGAGCTGGGGTCTCCAACATGGAAGCCGTAAGCAGCACTTCTCCTGGAGTCAGCCAAGCCCTTCTGCCTCCCCTCATTTTTATCTCATGCTTTAAGATCTTTTCAAATTAATTTAATCCCCATTTTAATTAAACAAACCTGTTTTTACCTGGGAAACTGACATACCGCAAACAAAGACCTTCCTCCAATGCCTTTTTTATATTGGTTCAAAATCACAGCCTTTTATTTTGGAGCTCAACTCCCAAACACAGCCTTGGACTGAGGTTTTGGGGCAAGTGACTTTTCTCTTAGTCACCGCAGTTTCCGTTCTGGGAAGCGAGAATTCTGGGGACAGCCGTGCCCATGACAGCAGCCATAGCCCTCTTCAAATCTAGCTGTGATACCAACCGGAAAATCCTGGGCACCTGTGCTAAAGGCAAATGGAGAGAGAAAACTCACTCTATCGTTCTGTTTCTTGTCTTGGAGGGTGGAAGGGCCGCATCAGCACCACTAAGCAGCTGCCTGGCCATGCGCCTGTGATGCTCTTGCGTCTTAGCCAGCACCGCTTCCAGCTCACCCAAGCGGAGGGCAGCCTGTTTCCCCCAGCTCCCAGGGTGTTTATGTGAAACAGTGTGAAAAGAACAAGCCAAGCCTTGAAGGCATGAATATTTCATTGAAGTGGCTTTCTCTGGCCCCACAGCCAAAAAGAATCCTGGAAGGGGGATGGCATATAAGGAATAGGGACTGGGGAGGGGAAAGGGAAAAAAAATAAGCGGATTTTCAGTAATTCTGGTGGAACGGCCTTGTGTTTCCCCTTCTCTCTTGTTGCATCCAACTGGAGCAAGCCCCGATGGATAAAGCAGCATCCAAACCCAACTGAATAATAAGTGAAAGATCATTAAACTAAACAATAGGATAGCAAAGGAAAGCAGTGAATAGGCCCAAGGAAAAGGGGAACAGAAGACCTGAGTGCCAGAAAACTGGGCTGCCTTCGTCCCTTTAAGTCAGCCTTCCGGAAGCCTTCCAGATGTGCGGAACGATGTAATTGCAGGTCCAACGGCGTAATTGTGGTGCAACCGTTGGGAGGGTGGCCGGTCAGAAAAAGTTGCCCACGTAGGCTGTGTAATTCTGGGAGGGCACTAGGCGTCCTGCAGGACTCCAGAGCAATCAGCAGAGTGCCAAAGATGGGAGAAAGGGGGCAAGGGAGAGCCGTCAGTGAGCGCCAAAGGAGCCGTGTTTTGGCGTTCACAAGCAAATGCCCAAATCCCCGTCAGTCTTACTAGGCAAGCCGGAAGATTTCCAAAATTGTGCAGCCTTTGATTTCTGCAGATCTCTGTGCTGGGCAGGAAGTTACATAAAGCAGGCTGAGTGTCTGGGGAGGGAGGGGAAGGGGACACAACGCTGGCCGGGGGATGAAGGCTTGGCTTCCCCGGGCGCACGGTCTCGTCGCAGAAGGTTCACGGACGTTCACGTGAGATGCAGTGCGGCGCTGCCCTCGGGAGGAAGACTCTGATCCTGAGAACAGGTCTCAAAGCCAGCTGTTTCCTCAGAAGTGTCTCCAACGTGGGCTCTGGAGAGCAGCCCCGGGTTCCCAGAGAAGAGGACGAAAGAGCAGACATTGGCATATGCTAATCTGCAAGTCTTGAAACAAACCAGATGGGTCCCATTTAATGTGCATTTTCGTGCTTTAGCCTTATGGGGGTAATAAGGGGGTTTTGCATTTTTCCATGGCTGCTTCTTTCATTGAATTTTATTTTATTTACTTAAAACTGTTGTATGCTGTCACCACCTGTCTTGGCATCTCAGGACGGTTCACAATACGTAAATTGCCTACAATAATAATTTAAAATCCCTGCAGAACCTACCACGCAGCTGAGGAAAAGTAGTCCTGCGGAATCTGTAGGCTGAATTCTTAGACGTTCAAACTGCTTTGAGTCCATTCCACATTTGGCTGGGTCTTTACTTTTAAACCAGACTTGGACTGAACATTCCTTCAAAATTTTATTTACTTATTATTTTATTTTGTTCCACTTCTTTGCTGCCCATAACTCAAAGGTTCTCTGAACAGCTTACAAACTGAAAGCAACATATAATACAATGGATGAAACAGATAAAATAGATAAAAACTGTAAAATCATAGATCACAACTATCTCAAAATAAAATTATACAACCACACACAATATGATAAATACAGCCAATAAATTCACATTTAAAAAAGTAATAACAAAGTATAAATTAAATAAATGAAATTAACCAAAAGCTTGTTTGAAGAAAAAATCTACGTGGATCTAAGTGGGCAGGTAGAAATATGTGAGGAGAGAAACTCCCTCAGGTACCCTGGTCCCTAGTCATTTAGGGCTTTTTATGTCATAAAACTGAGGGCAGTTCTCTCTAAAAGAGGACATGTGGCCACCCCACTTGGCCCAGGTGTCTCTCCAGCAGGCTAGATCTGTAGGTGCAGGTATTTCAAATTTTTTACAGAAAAGCATTCATTTATTTGATGACAGTCTTGTAGACACTGGTACAATCCAGACCCAGGTCTTACCTTTGTAAGACCCTTAATGCAATTAAGGACTTAATGCTTTTGAAGGGGTGGTTTGAATGGATATAACCTACAAATGGATAAATACATGAATATTTGGCCTGCCTAAAGGGGTATAAAATTCATAGGTCTTCATCGTAATTGATCTAGTCATTGTATTTTTTATTTTTCTGTTTGTGTTTTTCTTTTGGTTTGCTTTTGATTTGTTTTATAAATCACAACCAAAACTGGGCCGAGAAAACACTTCCCAGACCCAGCTTCCCTGCAAATAAAGGCCGCTGAGTGATAATATAACTGTTTCTACTTCTTTCAAACTTGGGACTCTTTTTATTATTGGCTAGAGAAACGGGACTTCGTATAGATTTAAATATGTTTTTAAGTTATCATAAATAGAAGGAAAAGATGTGGAGGCTGACCCAGCGGGCCCGATGTTTTTGATGATCGATGTTGTTTTTAGTTTTTAGTTTTTGTTTTTAGAATTATAAGTTTAAATAAAACTTATTATAAAAAAAGGGCCATTGAGTGATAATATAACTCTGTTTCTCTGCAGGAGGGTTTTCCGAAACGTACGCAGCTCTGTGTGACTACAACGGGCATTCTTGCCGTGAGGAGGTGCAGTGGGTAAGTTTGGGGGACGGGGAGAGTGAGGGGAGATGGGCAGAACCCCGTTTTGATGCAGAAAAAGTTGTCCTTGTAGCAACATCGTCTCCTGTTCGGAGGTCCCCGAAGTGGCCTCTGCCAACCCCCATTGTGTGCAGGATGGAGAATTACCACACTGAAAAATCACTCCAAAAGGTCTCACGTAGCAACTCCGATGAAGGTTGTTCTCACCGCCTCACCCACCGAATGGTCCCCGCGCTTCTTAAAAATGCAAACTTTCCGGAGGGAAAAGAAACTCCCAGTTTGACGGTTTTTCCACCTTATAAAAAGGGTTGTGTGAATTTTGTTTGGTTTTTAAAAACACATCTTCTGATCAAAATGATATCCAAATTGGCTTTGAGAGGAAATGGAAGGAGATGTAGTTAACTGGGAAAGGGAAATCCGTTGAAAACAATCAAAATCCGTCAAACAGTCGAGGGAATCCGTCAAAAATGGGAGCCTTGGAAAATGTCTGTGCATATTGAGGGATAATTGGACATTCCTGGCCCCTTTTTGGAAATGTGGGGGAAAGAGATGTGATTGCAGATGAGTTTCCTCCCTCTCTCTCTCTCTCTCTCTCTCTCGGTCTCTCTCTTGTGTGTGTGTAAATGCAGCTATTTGGTTTTGTGGGGTGAAGGCCAAAGTTTCCTTCCTCATTCCATCCGAGCTACAAAACTCAATGTGTAACCTTAGGTTGTTAGTTTTCTCTCAGCCTACCTCACAAGGTTGTTGTTCAAAGGAAGAACCTGAAATCCGTGTATGCCACTCTGAGTTCTTAGAGGGAATTTATTACTTTTAGGAATTTAATCCATGGATATTTGATTTGTTTGCTCATCTCCCCTTCTCAGGATGTTGATACTATTTATCATTCTGAAGACAACCGGGAATTCAACTTGCTGGATTTCTGCCACCTGGAAAGCCGGTGAGAAAAGGGAATGTCTGTGCTCTGCTCACTTAACTTCCTTTGCACCCCGGTAGCCCCACAGACTTCAAATCAGTCTTGCGAGTGCTCCAAGCTCCTTCACTGATCTCAGGCAAGCGCCAGCCCTTCGAAGTGGAACATGTGCCTAACACTAATGGCCTACTCTAGAGGGTTGTTGTGAAGAGTCTGCCAGTGATGGAGACCCTCCTCCCCATGCAATTCCCCAGTCTGGTCTGTGGGGAAGGCCCCCTTCTGCAGGCCAGGTCCTCTTGGTTTTGACCTCCACCACAGCTCAGTCATGATTAAAAAATTGGGTGCGAGTTCCATGGAACGTGTCTCCATGTCCTTTTTGCCCTGCGTCTTCCCCATGTATTTATTTATTTAAAACTTTTATAGACCTTGCTGAAGTCTCGGGATGGTTTAACAATACAAAATATTTTTATAAAATTAAAACACAGCATCCTAAAATTTAGCTAGTAATAAAACCCCAATTAAAACAGGCAGGTCTTAAAGCCTTAGGAAAATGAAAAGGGGTTGGCCTGGCGCTGAAAAGAATAAAGTGACGGAGCCAGGCGAACCTCTCTGGGGAGCGAATTCCACAATTGGGGCGCCACCACAGAGAAGGCCCTTCTCTGGGTAGTCACCCTCCTAATCTTCTTCAGGGAGTGCACCCGGAGAAGGGCGTCTGCCCCAAATCTTAAGCAGTGGGCAGGCATAGATGGAAGGAGACACCCCTTCAGGTAATCCAGGAAGGGGCAGGGTGGATGAGGTACCAAGCCACATCATCTCCTATTGGAGTATCTTCACCCACGGCCAGCATCCACCCATCGCCGTGTGGAGAAAAGATAGTCCACATTTACTTCTGAAATACTCCTGATATTTCAGACTCTAATTGCTCCTCCTCAGTTTCAGGCTTGCTCCCCATCCTTCCCATTAATCCAGCTTCCTGGGATTTGGGGGTGACGGTTCAAGGATGTCCCTTTCTCATTTCCCTTTCTCCTCCTCCTCCTCCTCCTCCCAGGGACCTGGCTTTGATCGTGGCTGCTTTGGCCTACAACCAGTGGTTCACCAAACTCTACTGCAAGGACTTGCGGCTGGTAGGTCTGCCCAGGTTGCTTCCTCATGTTTGCTCATGCAGCAGTCTCTGCCCCACACCTGCCTCCATCTGGAGGTTTTGGACTGCCAGGTTTGGAAACCGCAACATGCAAGCTGAGGTAGTGAGCTTCCACCCCCTCGGCTCCAGCCGCCCGGCTTGGCCCTCTCCTCATTCCTGGCCACGGGTGTTTCTTCTCCTCCCAGGGCTCCGAGGTGGCAGAGCAGGTTCTGCACACGGTGAGCAAGTCCCATCACCTGGAGGAGCTGGTGCTGGACAACGCAGGACTGAAAACGTGAGGCTCGGCTCTACTTTTGCTATTCATGCCCCCCGGGTGCCGAACTTTTCTCTTTGTGAGCAAAAACCTTCATGCACGGAGCCCTGCTCTGAAGATGCTCAGTTCCCCCTTCAGCAACCTCTCCCTGCTGGGGAACGGACGGGTCATCTTGGACCAATGTTTGGAAATAACAAGGGAAATAACAAGGGGAACTTGGTGAAGGGCAGGACCCCCGGAGGGAGCCAAAGCCTCCGGGGGCCAGATGGGAAAAGTTCGTGAGCCAAAGGTGAGCTCACCCCATGCTCGCTTTCTTCTTGCTGTGATGCAGCTTCTCATGCCCCATAAAGCTGCCCCTCCACAAAGATGACCTGTTTTTGAGGGGTTGCCTCCCTGTCTCTCCGTGTGTCTCCCTTCTCTCTGTGTGCAGAGATTTTGCCCTGAAATTCGCCTGTGTCCTGGCAGAGAACCCAAACTCTGCTCTCCACGCCCTCACGCTCTCCCACAACCCGCTGGAAGACAAAGGTGAGGACTGCCCCGGCCCGGCTAGCCCGGGAACAGGATGCGTTGGGGAAGGGGGCATTTAACAGCTGCCGTTCACCCCACATGGTCTCCTTCCCCCCCATACAGGCCTCAGCGCTCTGAGCCAGCAGCTGCTCTGTCTTCCCAAAGGCCTCAGCAAACTCTGCCTTTCCAAGACCAGCATCACAACAAAAGGTACGGACCGGTTTGTTGGGCTAGTGACCCGGAGAAAACGGTTGCCAGGGATTAACCTTCTAAGCTCCCTTCCTCCAAGAAGCTCTGGGCAGCGCTCTCGGTTGACCCCTCTCCTACTTTTACCCTCACAGCAACCCTGCGAGGTAGGCTAGGTTGAGAGAGGGAGAGAAAGAATGAGTGAGTGAGTCCACTTTGAGATTTATGGGCTTGGTGAGGATTTGAACCCGGGTTTCCCCAGCCTGGGGGCTGAATTCCAATTTGGACAAGCCCCCGAAGACCGAGTTCCAGTAGTGGGTGGAGCCAAAGGCAAAGGGGTGGGACCACGTGCAAAAAAACCTCCAGACAAACCGCAACATATTGTGGCTTAAAGATCCTATTGCTAGTAACTCGGCCTTAGCAGATCAGTCACTTGAAAACTGGGTTCTCTAGATTGAAAACTGCCAGATCTCTTTAAACATCAAAACACAGCGTTAAATGGTTGCCAAAAAAAAAATGAAGCCCTTGAACCTTTGGGGTCAGGATGTGCTACTTCTCAAACGGAGAGAAGAGCGCCCTCTTTTCCACAGATCGGCTCTGGAGCCCGGCCTTCCTTAATACGCAGTTCCTTCCCGCACGGACTTGTCACGAACCAAGGAAGGGCAATTGGACATTCAAAAGGCCGCGTCCATGACTCCCGATGACCGTTAGCGGCTGTCCTTTGTTCCCCAGGACTCGCCGTTCTGTGCCAGAGCTTCAGTGCCAACCCGGCCTTCACCAGTTCGCTCCGCCATCTTGACCTGAGCAAGAATCCGGGGCTGCTGGGGACCGACGAGGCGAACGTGAGTGGCTGCCACCTCCCGGAGAAGCTGCCCTAACAAAGTGCTCGCTTCTGAACTAACGAAGGCTCCTGGGGGTTGTTTATGCCTTGGTTGTCAGAACCAGGAGATCTGCCAGGAAAAGAAAGCAGTGTCACATCACTAATAGTTGGGTTCTTGTGTGCGGCTGAGGTCACCTTGCGGGAGAGGAAGAGCAGAGGCTCCGCCCAGAAACAGTCATTGGGCTGGTTCACACATAATGCTAAGCCATGGTTTGTTTAACCCATGGTTTGTTTCCCCACCCAGAGCTTATCTGATGACAGCCTAACAAACCAGAGTCCCTTTTCTCAGTCTCGGGGTTCTTTGTTCCCCTCCTCTTCTGCCTGCTCCCCCACTGTACCCCAAATGACTCTGTGACATTGTAAGACTAGTCTGTAGGTTGGCTGGGGGGCGCAGGCAAGCGTTGCCTCATTTTCCCATTGTGGGCTGGCAGAACAATCCATGAACCAAGCACTGTTGTGCAGGCACACGTGCGTGGCTAAACCACCCAGAGTTTAGCCACAGTGCCTGGCTAAACCACCCAGAGTTCACAACCCAGCCACAAATCACGGGTTCTCGTTCTGGGCTCACTCGGGACCCAGCTCAGCCGATGTTCAGCACACGGATAGCTCCCTCAAAGCTCCAGCCAGGGCCAGTTTGGACACACCACCGTGCAAAAGTGGAGCCAACAGCTAAGGGGGTGTCCTCGCTGGGCGAGGGGGCCCATGGGGGCGTCCTGCTCCAGAACCGACTGTATGAGACCGTTTAAAGCCAAGTTAGTTGCTTTGCTGCAAAATCAGTCACTTCCACCCAGCCCAAAGGGAGCGCCAGAAGCGTTTACACAGAACCACAAGTAGCACACTTAGCTCAGGGAGGGGGATGCCAAGAGGGATTTTAGACCCCAGCGCCCTCCTCCGCAGGGCTGGCGTCCTCACCATCCCGTCCACAGTTCCCGTGTTTACGCCTTCCTTTCTCCATTCCTCCCCTGCAGAGTTTCTATGCGTTCCTGGCCCAGCCAAATGCTCTGGTTCATTTGGACCTATCCTCCACCGACTGTGCCGTGGACGCAGTAAGATTTTAAGAGAGCCGCACACTCAGCCGTGGGGCGTGTTGTGTGAGACGTGCGCTACATTGTGGGAGACAATACAGGGTAAAACTGGGGCTGTCTAAGCTTTAGCACTTGCTCACTCCTTGGTATGGGTCTGTCTGTCCCTGTAGCTGTTCGGAGCTCTGTTGCATGGCTGTTGCCCACGTCTTAGCTACCTCAACCTCGCACGAAACACTTTCTCCCACCGGTAAGCAGCTGGCTTCTTCAGCCTTTCACCTCCGCCCCTCCGGCTGAGACACCCTGCGGCTGGGTCCCTTTCCGGGGGGAAAACGAGTTTGCGTCTTTGCTTGTCTCCTTCCCCAGGAAAGGAAAAGGACTCCAGCCTTCGCTCAAACAGTTTTTCTGCAGCGCCTACTCCCTCAGCTATGTAAACTTATCCGGGATCAAAATGCCCGTGGAGGCGTTAAGGTGAGGCATTTTCAGCAAACTGTCTCTCTTCTGCTTCCTGCTGCGTATCGTCTGGAGATTTAGTAAAGATTTGATGGTATAGGAAAACTTTAAATAAAATTAGAAAATTCTGCGTTGGCTAAAAAATTGTCAAAGCACTGTACACCAATTTAAAACAAAGATACCCAAACCTCAGAACATCAAAAACAGCGCACCACTGAAAAAAAATGAAAGGTGCAACATTATGCGTATTTAAAGAGAAAAAATCCCAAAATGAGTTTGTAAGGCTTTCTTCCGTCCAAACATGCATGCAACTGCATCTTAAAAAGCAGAAAGATCTGTCAGCTGGGCTCAGGATCATGCATAAAAGCTGAACGAGAGATGTGGAAGTCAGGGCAATGCGAAATTTCCAGGTCTTGCCATTTGGACGTGTTAATTCTAACTTTGCATGGGTGTGTGTGAAAATTAAAATCTTCGGTATAATTTTCCTATACTGAAAATGGGAAATTTGGGGCAACATTGAAAGAAGAGCTTCTCCTGTAAAATTTTCTCTTCCAGAGTGATTTTTTAAAAATTGGATTTTAAAATAATGTTTGGCCCCAAATTGAAGGGCACTGTTTTCACATCGGCTGATGGCCCCAAGATTAAAACATGTCACCCTACAGGCCTGAGGAGGGAACCCAAAACCTGAGGTTTCGTGCCATAAAATAGGAACCAATCAGGGCTTGTACTGAGGGAAGCCGGTACGAAGCGCACCCCGTAAGAAAGCTGAACCTAGAATAGCCATTGACTGGGTTCAGACAATGAGATAACCTACACTCAAGGGTTGTTTTCAGACCATGGATAATTCTGGAAATGTGGGTTATTGTGCTGGGGAATACATGTTGCAAGTAGCCATGGCAGAAATGATGGCGTAAAGTAGCTTTAGTTAATTCTTTGCAAGACATTTTATCTAGTATGTGGTATTCTGGCAAAATCCACCAAGAAGAAAGCATTTGGGGCGCTGTAGGAAAGAGCAAACCAAACTGGCCACAGCTGCTTGCTCTCCAGGCCCCTTCGGTGGGCTAAGATGCTTGCAGAGCAAAGGTATAATTTGTGCGAAACTACCATTTTTAGCAGCACCGGTTAAGGGAGGCATTATGACCGGTCTCAAGCTGTGTGGCTGTTTTGCATTTGCTGGCTCTTCCAAGACCCGTTTCTGGGGAGTTCACATGTGAGGAAAAATGCTACCCTATTTTGTGTTTTTAGTGGAAGGGAATCTGTTTTCGGAATCTGTGCAGAAAGGAGACTATTTTAAGAATAAGAGTGGGATCTTTTTGGAAGGCAGTGTGGTTAAATTTTGCGAGGAAAGCCCCAGGGAAACTTTGCTTCCAGTTCAATGCCCTTTCCCCCCCTTTCCTATCAGTATTTACCAATTCAGAGGAAAGCAAGCGCTGAGGCTTATGGGATAAGACAAGCGAGTTAAAACGCAAATATGTTTTTATGTTCTTTCCTCAGATCCCTTTTCCAAGGCCTGTCAGCAAACACTCACCTGAGCGAGCTTCACTTAGACTTGAGTGGATGTGAGGTAATTGGGTGGTCAACCATGCAGGGCTGTTGTGCAGACATCTTGTCTATGTTATTTATTTGTTAGATTCCTACCCTGCTCCAGGGGAATTTATATAATTGTCCTTTTTTCCCATTGATCCTCAAAGCAACCCTATAGAGTAGGTTCAGTGGAAGGTCACTCAGGTTCACCCTGTGAGAGCCATAGCTTGTCAGGGACTTGAACTCAAGTCTCCAAGTCCAGAATTCTAACCACTAGGACTCACTGCCCATCTCTATCCATCTACCACCCCTCATACTTCCTTATGTGCCTGGAGTTGCCCAGGAGGGGTATATATCCCATCTTTCAATCTTTATCAGCTTCTTCCACTGTCAGCTGTACTTGGAATTAAAATTGGTGGAGACTTTGCTGCAGTCATCTGTACATCTGATATTGTAAACTTAACAATGAACCCCTCAGCATGGCATTTTAGTTGTGTGGTTTTTTTAAAAAAATAGACTAATTAGTTTTAGAAAAATTACTTTCTAAAATGTACAGTGAAACACTTCTCCCTTAAGCATTATTGCACCAATAGTTCAATATATATATAAATTTAAATGTAGCTAAATAGGCCTTTGGGTGCAAATGCTAAAACATGGACTTTAAATAAAAGATGCCGCTGAAAAGGAACTGGCCAGAAAAGGAATAATGTAGTTATTCGAAAGTGAAGAGCGTGGAAATAAGTCTCATTGTTCCCATAACCCCAAAATCACATCCCAAGAACACCTTTCCAAAAAGATGGGATAGCGGTGCTGAGCTGCTTTCAGACCAAGTCTGGGTTTGAAGGGGTTTTCAGAGGCTGTATTCGGGGTGAGCAAAATACCCAAAGTACCAGTAGCCTCTAGCTTCTGATTCTTACAGCCAGCAATAATTAAGAGAGCCGTTTTTGCATGGCAGAATGGGGGAAAACGGGAAGGCCTGATGGTCGTGGCAACGAGGGTGAGGTCCGGGGAAGGGGCCGTGGCCTTCGAGGGCCCCCGAGGGGCTGGATGGCGCCCTAGGCCTGGAATGCGATATCCCTATGCAAAATGAACTGCACCTGTGGAAGGTTTGCCCCATTATCAAACAAAATGCCTATCGCAGCCCGTCTTCCATTTTGCCTTTAATGGGGTCTTTCCGGTGAGGGGGGGAAAAAGCTGAAAGCAGCGCTGGGGAAGCACAAGGAAGCTAAAACTGGAAGCGGCTGTGTGATCGGTTCTCTTTGACTCCTGTGGAAAAATCAAGAAGGCAGGTGTGTTTGCACAAGCCAAGCTCCCCCGGTTTCTTGCAAAGGGCTTCGGAGTTTGCCAAATATAGCGAGAGGCCAGTGGCCCAGTTCTCGCAGCTCTTTCCCCATTTCCTCCGAGCGACTGTCAGAAAAATCCCGGAATTTCAATTCATGAGGAGGTGGAAATAAAACTCAGGTTCGTGGGAAAGATCAAGCGTCCAGACCATCTGTGGCTTTATTGTTTGGCCCAGGTTCCCGCAGTAGACTCAGGATAATGCATTACCGGGCAGGCAGAGTAAACTCGCTGCAAAGTTTCAATACAACTACAGGGTATTTTATACCCTCCCGGTCATGTACACAGGTACATTGATGACAGAATGCAGACATTACGATAAGATTCTGAGGTCATCACATACAGAACAGATAAAGGAAGGTCAGCCAATCAGACAGTGACAATGAGATTACAACATTTCTAATTGCCTGTATTGACACTTTAGTTGAGTAACTTGAATCTATCTCCAGGTCTGCTTAGACACGTAAATTCAGGCTGCTGAGAAACTATTCATGAACTCATAAGCTCATCTAGACTCAGACCCTAAGTAATGCATCTGCACCGTTCTGAATGGCCAGGGCACATGGAGCCCTCTGGGCTAGGAATATACTTCCCGGTAAACTGTGAATTCCAACAATGATTATTTAATCATTGTGAAGGTATATAATGTATATTTGGACCAAATGGCCTGTCTACTGTACCTTACAGTGAAAGATGAGAGAAAGGAACGCGGGAGGAATGCCATTTTAAACAGTGACTTAGCTTGGTTTGAGAAGGAGTACAGGATTGATTCCACAACGCAAAGGCACACAGAAGCAATGCTTTTCCGACAGGATTTATCCAAATTTTCCCAACACGACTCATTGATCTTCCTTCTGCTTTCTTCCTGTGTAGCTGCGCTCACCTGGAGCCCAGGTGCTTCAAGAGCAGTTGTCCGGCATTAGCGCTTTGAGTAGTTTAGACCTTTCGGACAACGGTGAGTGCGTGTCTTTTCCCTGCCTGTTTTTCAAGCAGCGTCCTGGTGTTTCCTTCCTAAGCATGTTGCACTGTTCTCATTTTCTCCAGGCTTCGATTCGGACTTGCTAACTCTTGTCCCAGCCCTGGGCAAGAACAAATCCTTGAAACACCTCTGGTTGGGCAAGAATTTTAATGTCAAGTCTCGGTGAGTTGGCACCACCCTGCGGTACTTGGTCCAGAACAGGCATTCCTTACCCTTTCTCACTTCTGTTCCCCTTGGCAGCCCATTTCCTTAAATTTATTTATTTATTTAAAGTTTTTATATGCCGTCCCCATTGCTACAGAGCCTCGGGGCGGCTCACAACCGAATATTCTCCCGCCTCACCACCAGCGCCCAGGAGGCATGGCACCCTTTGTAGTAGCAAAATGTTTGTCGTTAATATAGTTGCGGTTATTTCAAATTTGTATGTAACTAAAAAATTGCCCAATGATGGGATTAAAAGGCAATGGAATAATTAAGTGAACAGACAGGGCATATATATTTACATAAACTCAAAATGGCTTTCCATTATTATTCAATTCTTTTCACATACCACCAAATGTCCTGGTTTGTGCCCCCGGGGGTACATGTAGGCCAGGCTGGAAATCGCTGGCTTAGATCCATCCATTTTGTCATCATGGGCTTGTCCACACAAGGCTATTAATTCACTGTGGCAACTTTTGTGATCCAAGCAAAATACAGTGTTTTCTTTCCTGCTATTCTGTAACATGGCCTCTAGGTGGCACTGTGGTATAGCAGAACAGTGCAAATAGCACAGGTTTAAAAAGCAGCTTATCTTGTTCTACTGAGTAACACCACATTTTCCCTTGTCTAAAAAGATTTGCAGAAAGTGTGTGATTTAAAAACAAAAGAGAAACCGGAGGGTTGCCGTGTCAGCTAACAACTGAACAGTGAATGAAGGGTGCGGGATAGAAGCCTCCCATACAAAGCTCTGCACAATTTAGCCATGAAGCACACTAGACTTGGTCAGTTTTTCCTAGTTTTTTAAGCAAGGATTCCTCCAGACAGACTGCTCCTAGCACTCACGCTCAATCATAAGATGCCACCAAGTTACCGTTGCAGCTTTTCCTTCTGAATAGATTTTCTGTGTTAAGAAAAATTTTGTGGCTCACTGGGGAAGCAGTCTAGTCCAGTGCCTCCGAAACATTTGGGACTACAATTCCCATCTTGTCTGAGCATGGGCTATGCTCCTTGGAGCAAATGGCAGTCATTGTCCAAAACACCTGGAGGGCACCCGGTTGGGGAAGGCAGACCAGGAGTAGATAACCGCAGGAAAAGCCCCCACTTCTGAATTTCTGCCCCTCCAGCCCTTCCTCTCAGCCCATCCCCATTTCTGCAGAAATTGATCTTTTAATGCTTTCCCCACTGGAATCCCTTTTCTTGGGATTGTTGGCAGTAAGCACTTGAAGCTAAAAATGTGCTGACACTTTTGGTATTTGGGGTCCGCCCCCCCCCTTTGTTTTTGGCCCCCAGCACTGGAATGCAGCCCCCTAAGAACTTTCCAAATGGAATTTGGTTGTGGGCCTCTCCGTTTCTTGTAGGGCAAATCATAACTTTCCCCTCCCCTGGAACACGTAACTTGGAGAGACCTGGAGTGCTTTGGGGGTGAGAGACCTTTAGCCCACCCCCAGGGCACCCCATTGGCAGAAATTCTGTGATGGGAAGCCATGACATTTTATTATTATTATTCCATTAAAGTTGCCAACTGAGACATGCTTTGCAGTTGTAGCTTGACATGGGTCGCCACCAAGGTGGAAATGCACCCGGAGTTTGGAATAAGGCACCAGGTGAGCTGGCGGGGCTCCCCATGGGCCTCCCATCTGGACCGGTAAGGCCTCAGATGGGAAATGTAGTCCCTTTTTTGAAGCAGCACATCATCAGAAGTGCAAAGCTGTTCTCAGCTCATCCTGGTCCTCTTATGAAAATGTGAGAATTCACAAGTGGCTTGTGGTGCAACACTCTGCAAGCTGAAACGGAAAAAAATCCCTTTTGTTCCCAGCATTCCCCAGCTGACAGAGGAATTATCCTATTCCTGCTTTTCATTTTAAGTTTTTCTTGCTCTCTGTGACCTGTCGCTTGTTCTTACTTCCCAGAACTTTGGAGGAAATTCTTCAGAGTATCGTGCAGCTTATACAGGAGGATGAGTGTGTAAGTAAATTCCGGACTGGAATTTAAATTCCCAAGAATTTTAATGCACAAAACACAATAAAATATGACATAGACATTTAAAACTACAGTATAAAGTAATGATGAAGCAAAGATAGAACTATCCAGGAGTGCAAAGTTTTCAAAATGCAGCAACATATTTTATTTATTTACTTACTAATTTGCTTTTTATCCCACCAATTCACCACTGGTGGACATGCCCATTTGCCCAACGCTTCTGGAGAGAGACTGAAAATGAAATTAACATCACTAACTGATCAATCACTTTCGATCTAGTGTATGCTTTACTTCATTTAACTAATGAACATTCAATATTTGCAAAAGATTTGCTTCCATTTCTGTTGTTGGCCGCTGGACAAGTTTTTGTCCAAAGCTGGAAAGGTGATGGAATTCTAATTTGAGCAATTTGCAAGGGAAAGTGTGGAATTTGACTCTGTTGGAGAAACTAACCTAGCAAGCGAGGTCTCTAGATGTGGATACGGTCACCTTTTATTAACTTTATTGACCGAGAAGGAGGCGGACTCTGCTCTGTGCCAGCAATTCAGGGCAAGATACGGACAAGCGTCCTTTCCTCTTGGAGCTTTGGAGAGTCCGCTTCTCCGAGAGCCGTTTCACTCTGAGTTTTCTCTTCACTGGAAAACAACCTTCGCACTCCTGCTCCAATTGGTAGCAATGGAGCTGCTCTCGGGGTGATTTACACAGTCCGTAAAAACAAGTGTTAAAAATGCAATAACAATATTGCAACGTCAGAAAAATATTTAGAAGCTTAAAAGAGCTAAAACAGGTACTGAAAATGGACAATAATGAGAAAGAACAAAAAATAGTGACTCAGAAACACCTGCTGGTCCTGCTCCTCCGGTGGCTCAGGAAGTCTTTAAAAGTCTCAGAAAAGAGGACCGTCTTAACCTGACGGCAGACTGGGTGTCGGCCAAACTTTTGGCCTTCCCTTGTCGCCGCTTGCACTTCCCTTCGCGTTGACTCTCGGCAGAAGGCCCCAAAGCCTGCGCGTAGCGTCTGGTTAGATCATGGCTGAGAGAGGTGCTCCAACAGGTATTGCGGCCCTGAGTCAGGTAAGGCTTTCTAGGGTAAATTCAGCGCTGGAAGCCTGCAGGCAGGCAGTGTAAACTTATCTTACTTCATGCAAAGCTCAGGGAGCCAAGGTTCAAGCTGGATGCCAGGAAGTCCTTCCTGACATCGGTGAGGGTGTTCAAGGACAGGCTGGACATGTCCATGGTGGGCATGTCATGAGTGCAGCCGACTGGAGCCAGGGGTCAGACTAGATGGCCCAGGAGACCCCTTTTGACTTACTCTGTTTCTACGTTTTTAAACTATTTGGTTGTTATTTTTTTAAAAAAGGAAGAGAAAGGAGGAAAGGGCTTGCTGGATAGTCCAAATTGCAGCACAAGCTCAGCAAGCTGGATGGACGGAGGTGGAATTTGGGGGGGGGATTTGAACCCCAGCTGAGCTCTTCTGTGTTTCCTCCCTCCCCCGAAGTCCCTGCAGTCTTTCTCGGTTGCCGATTCCCGGCTGAAAACCCGTACCAGCATCCTGATCAATGCCCTGGGAAGCAACGCCTGCCTGACCAAAGTGGACCTGAGTGGGAACTGCATGGAGGACATCGGGGCGAAGATGCTCTCCAAAGCGCTGCAGATCAACAGCACACTGAGGTGGGAGAGCTGCGTGTGGCCGCGGGAGCCACCCGGCCGCTTGCCCAGCATCGAGAGCTCTTGCAGGATGCGTCTCATGTGCCGCACAGAGGGGAGGGGAGCTCTTGCCAGTACGGGGCGTAAGGAAAGCCCCTTTCTGCCTTCCAGAAGTATTTCTTGGGACAGAAACAACACCACGGCGCAGGGCTTCCAGGACATCGCCCGGGCCTTGGAGAAGTGAGTGGCTTACAGAGCGGCCCTGCGTGAGTTTAGACGTCAGGGGGCCTACCCCCCCCACACACACCCAGCCACAAACCTACACAGAACTGCACCCTTATTTAACCGTTCAAAGTCTGTCCTGCCTTTCCACCCCAAAATGGCTGTCGAGGTGCTAGCGATACCTTTTAAAAGGCCCTTTTGCCCAACTAAAACGTTAGCACGATCCGCTGATGCTCGCCTGGCACCCCGGGAATATTTATTTATTTATTTAAAACATTTCTATGCTGCCCCCATCGCAACAAAGCCTCGGGGTGGCTCACAAAGAATACATAAAAACATACATAAATAATAATATAACAATTAAAAAAAAATATCCCGCCTGCCCTTGTGAACGGGAGAGGCCGCCTTGGTGCTGAGGCGGGGAGGTAGGCCCTAGCCTTCTGTGGCACCCCACGGCCCCCACCGTGGCACCCCACGGCACCTCCGTTGGGGGAACAGCCGGTGGGCGAAGGGCAAGCCCCCGCTCCCTCCTGCCCGGGGCTGCAGGGGACCCCCCCGGGGCTGCCATAGGGTGCCTCGGTGCATGCCGGGCCCCTGGGGGCCCTGTGAGGCCCACTCCTCACGCCCACCCTCTCCCGCAGCAACTACACCCTCAAATTCATGGCCTTCCCCATGAGCGACATCACGGCGGCCCACCGCAACGCGCCCGAGCGGACGGACGAGGCGTGGCAAAGGGTGAGTCCGGCCCGCGAGTCGCGCTGCCCCCGGGGCCGGCCAGGCTGGCCCTTCCATCACAGCCCCGTCTCTCCCTCTCCCGCTGCGCCTCAGATCCAGTGGTGCCTCCTCAGGAACAACCACTCGCAGAAGTTCCCCCAGGAGCAAGCCTTCCGCCTCCACCAGGGGATCGTCACCAATAGCGCCGAGCAAGTAAACGTTCCCGTCTCCCTGTTCGACCCACCCCTGCCCTCCCGTCGCGGCGCCGTGGGGCCCTGGGAGAGCCACCCTCTGCCACAGGGCTGGCCCGGGCATCCTCCAGGTGGGGGGCGCCCCCTTGGTGGCCGGGGTGGCGAACCGCGAGGGGGGGGGCGCCCAGGAGCTCATGGCCCGGATTCTGCCCTCCCCAGATGATGAGCCGTCTGTGTGTGCGGGTCCAGGAGGAGGTGCAGGCGCTGCGCTCCTGCTCGGTGGACACCATCCAGGAGGAGGTGCTGTACGCCCGGGAACTCATGAAGGAGGCCAAGAATTCACGGGCGGTGAGATCCTGCGCCAGAAACTCCAGCCGTCCCCGGATGCCCTCTGCTTTGGAGCCGAGAGCCCGCTCGGAATGTGCCCTGGATCGGTTTCCGCGTCCCTGGCGGGCAGCTGTGCCCCCCCGAGGAGGGACTCGGCCTGGCTGCTTTGCCTGGCAGCGCTGAGCTTCAGTGCCTTCTCCGTGCGAGGAAAGCCGCCAGCACGGGTTGCGGCCCGCTCCCCACGGCAAGGGAATGGAAAAGAGTGCTTCGGTGCATATGCAGAGGGCTCCTTCCTCTCCTCCGAGCAATCTCTTCCCATCTCTAGCCCAGCAACCCCAGCCTAGACTTAGAACCTCTCTTTTCACAGGTACAAAGCTCAGCCTAGATACAATTTGAACGAAGTGATTCAGAAACCTTCCCTACCCCGCCATTTTGGATTGGATCCATGGCTCTGGGGAAGGCTGCTTTTCTAAAACACAAGAGACCCGGCCAGTCTAAAACATGTTTTATTTTTATTGATGTATTTCCGGCAAGGAGCCGCAGGGACCTTACAAAGCCCTCCTCTTTTCCATCTTACCCTCACAACAACCCTGTGAGGTAGGCTAGGCTGGAAATCAGTCAGCCAGGGAGCGTCAGAATGGCCGGGAGGTGACCCGAACTCAGGTCCGCCAAGCTCTGCAGACCTGTTCATTTTGGCGCATGCTTGGCACGGCGTTCCAACGAAGCCCCCTCTCGGCTCCCTCTCTGTCCCGCAGCTCTTTCCCAGCCTGTATGAGCTTGGGCACATTTTGGCAAGCGACGGGCCGGTTCGGCACAGGCTGGAGTCCGTGGCCAGCGAAGTGTCCAAAGCCGTGGACAAGGAGCTGCAGGTAACGTGCAGAGATGCCGGCATTTCCTTCCACCCCAGAATCGGGTTTGTTCTCAGCCGTCTGGTTCCCAGCACTGAGCACAGAGGGGCTTTGGTTGTCGCTGGCCGGAACCAAGCAGGATGCGGGACGGCAGGATGTGTGCAGAAGCGGGGCCTGGGCCCCGTGGGGAGCACGCCAGCAGCGTCTGTGGCCCTCGAGCCCCGCAAGGCTCTTCTCTGGGGTGACCGGGCCGCTTCCCTGCCGCAGGTGATCCTCGAATCGATGGTCGCCCTGACTCAGGAGCTGTGCCCGCAGGCCGTGCAGGCCGCCGAAGAGCGCAACAAGATGCTGGCCGCCGTCTCGGAGCGCGTCACGGTGCCCCGAAACTTCGTGCGGGCGGCGCTCCTGGAACAGGCCGGCCAGGATATTCAGAACAAGCTGAAGTGAGCGAGGATAAGGAAGGCCCGAGGGAGGGAGACGGCCGCGGGGAGCACGCCCTGCGTGGGGTGGGTCAGACGGGGTGACGCTCGCTTGTGGGGAGGCCTCAGGGGAGGGGGCGGCCACGGGCACGCCAAGGTGGCCGGCTTCTGACGCTCTTCGCCTCCGGCCTCTCCCCAGCGAGGTGAAGCTCTCCGTGGTGACCTACCTGACGAACACAATCGTGGAAGAGCTGCTGCAGGAGTTGTACCAGGCTCATAAGAACCTGGTGAGAGCCCCCCAAAATTCTCCTGACCCCCATGCTGCTGAGGCTTCACACAGTCCCCCCAGCTCTGGTGTTCTCGCCTCCATCGCTGCAGGAGCCTCATCTGCTCCTCAGCTCCGGCCCCCATGGGCTGCCCTCTAATGCCACCTCTGGGGGGCAGCTCTGCAGAGAAGTTTCAGGGGTGAATTCCGCTCCACGGAGCCCCGAGGCGGCCATGGCGGGACCCTCGCAAACCTCTCTCAGGCCCACACGGCCCTCGACTGAGGGCCCATCTCCCTCCCGACCGCAGGCACAACATATCACCCACCTCCGCCGCCTTTCCGAGGGGCAGAACAACGGCGGCCCGCTGGAGCAGCTGGGGAAGGCCCGGCTGCGTGACCACGAGGAAACCACGGACGACGAGCTCGGCTCCAGCATCGTAAGCACCTGTGGGTTGCCACGGGGACAGCGCGCCTGCAGGCCCCCGTGGACTCACCTGGCTTCTCCCCGCACAGGACACCATGGCCATCAAGCGGCGCAAGAACTGCCGGCGGATCCGGCCCGCCTCTGCCTTCATCAGTGAGTGTCCAACCCGCCCTGTCTTTCTGCCCCCCTTCCCACCTCTTGGATGCTCCATTGCAGCTGCTTCGGCCGTCTCCAAGCCCACCTTTGCAGGTGCACACGATCCAGCCAGTTGCGTTACTGTTCCTGTACGTCGAGGCTGATCAAACATTCGGCCTGAGGAACCGGTTCCGTTTCAGGGCAGCTCTCGGACCGCATTCCAAGGGCAGGCACAGAGCGTGGCCGGACGGACCCGCATATCTTGATGCAAAGCTCTTGCAGGCTTGGGAGGGACCACTCCACCATGTGAAATGGGGGGAAGCTGCACCAAAGCCAGGAAACCCCCAAAGATGGAGGGGGTCCGGGAAAAGCTGGCAGGGGCAGAGCAACCCGGAGATGCCTGGAAGGCCATGCTGGGTCCCCGGACTGGCCAGGTGCGGCCCTCCGCCTCGAGCTCTCTAGGGTGTCCACAATCCGTAGCAAAAGTCCATCCTAAAAAGCCTTTGCAAGTTCAGCCCTGGGAAGGCCCATTGTCACTCTTATTTATTATTTATTAAAAGCTTTTCTATCCCGTCCCCTACAAACATCTCAGGACGGCTTGCAGTAAATAAGCAGAATAAAACAAAACCCATAGCATCCGGCCATTAATATACTAAAACCCCAGTTAAAATCAATTAAACATTAAAATAACAGGAAAATAAGAAGGGTTTCCCCTGACGCTGAAAAGAATATAAGGTGGGTGCCAGGTGACCCTCTCTGGGGAGCGGATTCCGGAGTCAGGGCCACTGCAGAGAAGGCCCTTCTCCGGGTAGCCGCCCTCCTATGCAATCTCCTTCAAGGAGGGCTCCCGGAGCAGGATCTTCACCTCAGATCTCATGGGGCAGGAGGGCTTATAGGGAAGAAGGCGCTCCTTCAAGTATCCCAGACCCAAACTGAGCTTGCTTCCCCCACACCCGAAGGTCCCTCTGGGTGCACCCCTTCCTTCCCTCCAGCGAGGGTCCAGGGCTTGCTTTCTCTTGCAGGTGGCTCAGAACAAGATGGCGACCTGGGCGCCCCCCTGGGCTGGATATCCTTGGCCGACGGCAGCCATTATTCCCACTCCCACAGCGCGTCCTTTGAGGGGCTCTCGGAGCTGCCGACGGAGGGCAGCCGGCTGGAGCACCGCACCCGCGGCAGGCCCCGTCCTCCACGCAGCGCCCTGCACGGCGGTTTCCGCTCCCACGTGAGTCTGCGGCGCGCTGGCGTGGGTCCCCGGGGGTCACCTCTCTCCTCCCCACACCTTCCTCGGACTCCTCAGCTCATTTTTCCTGTGGGACCATCCGCCAAGTTTCTCTTCCCTCCTTCGGCCTTTTTGCCTTGGGACCAAGTTTGGGAGCCTTTTGCAATGGCATTGAAAGAGCAGGAAGAGGAACGGGGGAACGCCGGATGGGGGAGTAGCCAAAACCCGCCAGCGTGGAGAGCCAGTGCGGCCTAGTGGTCAGAGTGCCGGGTTGGGGCCTGAGAGATCCAGGTTCTAGTCCTCTCGCTCACTGGGTGAGCTCGGGCCAGTCACTGACACTCAGCCTAGCCTCCCTCGCAGGGCTGTTGTGAAGATGAAGGTGAGAAATAAGCAGCCCTGAATTCCTCACAAGGAAAGGGCTGGATACAAAACTAGATGGAAGATTGTCCTTTGACTCGGGAAGCCGTAGCTGCGTTGTCTCATTGCCGTAACCATCCGTGCTCGATGATTCTTGATGTCTTTAAGAGGGGCTGTAGGCCAAAACATCTGGAAGGCCAAAACACCTGGAAGGCCCAACTTGCCCACTGCAGGTCCAGAGAAGAAACGAAGAGGGGAAACGTGTGGGGGAAATTAATATCCCTCTCTCTGTTCCCCTCCAGAACCGAATCCTGGGGTCTGTCGACAGCAAAGAGCAGGAGAACGGCCTGGGGCCGCGGCTGGACGAGGGCCTGGATGAATTTTTCAACAGAAGGGTGCTTGCCGACAACACGAGGTAAGGTGGGGTGCCCCAGGTGGTCGTCCTTTAGGTGGAGCCGGTTGCTTTGAGACCCGGGGCAGCTTCAGGCAGACGTTCCTGGAGCACACGGCTGGGAGGTGTTCTTCCGCACTTTTCCTTCCTAACTGATCCTTCTGTGGAAAGAAAAACGGGACAGAAGAAGCAGTCGGAAAACACGGGAAGGTAAAGCACGATTGTTCTGGGGATGCGGTTACAAATTCTCCTCGTTCTGTGCCGTCAGTTGTCCCATGAACGGACTTCCGCAGCAGCCCTTCTCAGATCGTGACTGGGGCTTCCTTGATGGACTCAAACCATCTCTCACTTGCATTCCTTTCGTTTGCCTTTCTGTGGGTCCCAGGTGTTTCTGTGGGTCCCAGAAGTTCTCCCCTAGCACCAGGTGTTGAAGGCACCTATTTTCTTCCTGGTAGCTTTTGTCCCTCTCACACCCCTCTGTCTTGATGGGGGATGCAGGGACGGGAAATATCCCTACACTATACCGTATTTTCTGACTCTTACGCCGCAAACATAACATTCTGTGACTGAGATGGTGAAGGCAGGCAGAAGGCTTTGCCGGCTCTGGCCCGGGGGGGGGGGGGGGGGGGTCTCCGTCCTTCCTTAGCCACAGCCGGGGAGCCGTTGAGGGGGGGACACGGTCCTCTCGCTCAGCCCATCCGCCTCATCCCGCCCACAGCTATCCTCGGACGCCGAAGAGTTGTGGGGTGCGGCCCGGCCCCAGCGACTCCCTGCCCGCCCTGCAGAAGAAGCGGAGGAAGGGCCTTTTCCACTTTCGTAGGTACCGCAGCATCAAGGGGGAGCGAGACCCTGAGCACCTGCCCCCGAGCCCTCCCCCACCCCCGGTGGGGGGCTGGGAGGAGCAGAGGACCCCACTGCGCCCCGCTGCTGGCCTGGAGGAGGAGAGGAAGCGGGGGCAGGACCTCGTGGGGACCGTCGTGCTCCCCCCAGGAATCGGACCCCTGGCCCCGGGAAGCGGGGTGAAGGGCCTGCCCGGCAGGACAAGACAGGTAAGGGAGGCCTTGATCCGTGGGGTGACGCCAAGCGGGGAGGGGCTGCCCGGAGGCCCCTCGTTCTTAACGCCCCTTCCCCCCACGGCCAGGGTCCCAGTCCCGACTCCGAGCGGGCCGAATCCGACCCCAAGGGGACGGAGCTCTTGCAGCCTTTGCAGGTCCAAGGTGTGCCCTTACCTGGAATGGGACGTGCCAAGGGGTGGAGCCTGGATGCTAAGCTGGAGGTAATTGGTGGGGGGCAGGGACGGGGGCGGGGCTACGGGGGCCACGGGCCCCCGCGAGCCGTTTCTTCTGGGAATTCTCACCTGCCTCAGAGCGTGGACCTGGAGCGAGGAGGGAGTATGCGGGACCGGCAGCGCAGGCGATCCTCGGATGACTCAGGTGCGGGGCGCCCCTGACCCACAGCCGCTCCCCCTCCCTCCCACCTTCCTACCCCCGGGGCCCCCTCCACCACCTTATTTTGAAGCCCCAAACCAGAGCAGAGTTTGCACTGGTCCCAGGACAGAATTAATCCCCTGTTCTGACTGTGTTGCCCATTTCGTGTTGGTGTTTGCAATCTGGGGCATTGTAAAAATTGCCTTTTCAGATGGCGCAGTCCTTCCCAAGGGAAAGAAACCCTTCAGTTGTGTGGGAGTGCAAGCCCCATCCTTCCAGCAAGAGTGGGAGTTGCAGTCCTACACTCAGGAGAGTCCTGGGTGGAAGAAGGCCGACGTAGGGCATGGCCCGGGCACCCCAAGCACTTTAGGGATCAATCCTTTGTGCATTGGATCCTGCTGGGTGTTATCGGATCTTTTTCTCTCTGGGCATGTGTAGAGTGCCTCTTTAAAATCCCACTGATTTCAGTGGGAGACTGAAGTGCATGATTTAATTACAGTGGGAATGTAAGGGTGCATATATCTGGCCAAATGACGCTTTTAGATTTTATTTCTTTTTTCAAGTGAAAACAATCTAGTTTAATGTTTACTTACCAAACACAATGTTTTAGACTCTCTTTCTCCCTTTTCCCAAAAAACAAGAGCACCCATAACTGAGAATGTTCTAAACAGGACAATTAGGAGCATCCAATCTTTAGAAAAAAATCTGTGAGTGAATTTAAAGTTTGGAGAAGATTGAGAGCCATATCCTAAACGGGTTGACCCAGATTGTATTAGTGGGAGAGCTGGCACATTAATTTATTTCTCTAAGGCATTTTTGCCTCATTCCTCAGCCCAAATGACTCTCAGAGTGGCTTACATTTAATCCATAAAACAAGCCTGGCTTTGCCTGCCGAGGTGCAGTTTAAAAAGTCACAGCAGGCAAGGAAAGGGAGATGGGGAAGGTGGAGGAAAGAAGTAGTCTTTTGGAAGGGCTACCGGGTTGGCCCACGGTTCTCCCTTTTCTTTGCCCAAGTAAAGGCTGCTGGGGAGATGCCAACACGTGCCTGCGGAACCAGTCCTGCCTCAGCCTTGAATTTTTGTGGGTAGCCTCTGTGGTCCCAACCTCATCTGTGAAATGGGCACACTGTGGACTTGGCAGGGCAAACATGTGCTCCCTTCTTTGTTTTTCGACCGCACAGGACAAGGGGGATGGAGACCCCACCCCCCACTGCAGAGTACGAAGCCGAGCTTTGCCACCATTCGAAGGGCGGAAGCCAGCTGGGACATAGGTGAGTATGTAGGCGGAAAATGAGAGGCATTTCCTCCTGTGGCAGCCTCTCAAAGAGGCTAGAAAGGTTTGAGGTGGAGGACTGATCTGTTGGCACCAGACACACATAATTCAGGATTCCTTGAGAGTCGTACTTCTGGGTTTGGGGGCCTGGAATGCCTGCTTCAAATGAGAGATGTTAGATAAATTGGGATCCACTTGATCTGGATCAGGCTGGTTTTTCAAACCGCTGGGCTGTTTTTTCCCTGTGTGTGGGGGAGGGGGGAGATTTGCACTAATTCCTATTACTGTTAACATGCTCTTCCACCCCCGTGGTAACCCGCATTCATTCATGCAGCATAGCTGTAATTTACCTTAACGAATGCAGCATAAGTGCGGATGGGAATTAATACAAGCACACAGAAATTCTGGTTTTAAAAAGCCCATTCTGGCCACTGGCCGATGGTGGAATGAAAGTGTGTGAGAACGTGCAAGACACAGAATGAACTTGACAACGTTGGTGCATCGCCGCTTCAGAGATGACGCCCTGGCATCTCAAATTAAGAGGAATAATTCAGCTTTGGCCCACCTGTCTGGCACGCTACAGCTTCCCACCCCAACAACCTTCTTTTCCTCTGCTTACCTGACACAAACATTTAAATTAAATTAAATTTTACATTGCATTACATTATATTATATTATATTATATTATATTATATTATATTATATTATATTAAATTAAATTAAATTTCTATACTGCCTTAAAGGGCTCTCAGGGTGGTTTGCAAAATATATTAATGCAATATACTAAATGCAATGTAAAACAAGGTAGAAGAGTTCAAGACAAAATCAAAACGGCAGCATGAGGCAATGAATACAACAATTTACTGGATTTATAAACCTCCTAGAGCGATGCAAAGGACTAATTGATGGCGGACCCTGTGCCAGTCCAGCACAGCGGCTTGTACAGGCTGGGAACTTTGGCAGAAAGCAGGACAACTGCACCTTTCCCAGCCCGAGAGCCAAATAACACTCTGGGGGACGCTCTTGGTGCAGGCGGATGTTCCACCGGGCCAGCCAGATAGGCCACCCCTGTAGGCGATGGGGGCCCGTTAAGGCCTGGCATCTCCACCTGTTTCTGGATCCCTTCTCTTGCTCTCCCGTAGCTGAAGAAAGCTCGCCCCGGGAGAGCCGAGGCAAGGAGCCCCTCCAGGACCCCCCCTCGGAAGAAAGGCAGAGCAGGCTGGAAGAGAGGGGGGCCGTCACCCCTACGCTGCCCCCTGAGAAGGACATGGGGATGGTGCCCACCAAGGCAAGAACATCGGACTTGGGGAGTCCAGGGGGTGGCATGTAGGGACGGGATGGGGTCACAGGGAGCTTGTTCCACCTGGGAAGGGGGCTTTGCACCCCCCAAAATACTCCTCCCAACAACTGGGCTGGTTCCAGTAGCAGAGAGAGACCCCTGGGGGGGGGACAGTTCTCCCTAGGTGGGCAAGGTGATGTGCACAGAATCCCTTTCCGCAGGACGGGGGGGGCGGGTGAGTGCATCCCCAGCTCCGGAGGGCCGCAGGCCTTCTTGGCAACTCCTCCCCCCCCTTCACACGCCTGCCCCCCTTCTCCCCTTGCAGCAATTCAGGGATCCCTCATCCATCCCGTCACGGCCTCCCAAACCGGTCGCCCTCCCCCGGGGCCGGAAGCCCCCCAGCCAGCCCGAGCGCAGCCGGAGCAACGAGGAAGCCGGTGGGGCAGGAGGGGTCACCCCGGAAGACACAGGTACGTCCCCCTGGAGCCCAACCCCAGGCAGACCGCAGTGGGGCGCTTGCCCCACGCCAGTCCTGCAGGACTTTTCCAGCATCCCCTATTTGGCCACACAGCTTCCGGGGGGGCGTGGCGGGAGGGGGCGGTCAGTGGGCAGCGGCTGGTAGATTAAAGCATGAAAATGGCAAAATAGGAGTGAGACATCAGTGCCATTGTTTGTTTGAAGCCGTGATCCTCTCCCCTCCTCACGGAGCTGGCCCAGGGCAGGCGCTGGCGGCAGCAATAAAAGAACAGTCCCACGGTGGAGTTCAGTTAAAAGCCTCTGAAAGCAAAATTGTTGAAAGAAACCGGCAAATGCTCTTCCTGGAACTCTCTGGGAGCAAATTTTAGAGATGAGGAGCCACCACCAAGTAGCCCCTTCTTCAATCAATCGGTCAATCAATCGATTCTTTATTCGGTCATTGACCAGCCAATAAATTAAACACAAAATTACAATTAGTTAAAATAAGAAAAATACAGTACTGATAAAATTACAATAATTAAGAAAATAAAAGCATTCTGGTAGAACCATTTAGGGTTAATTCTACTGCCCGCTGCACCGACTACCAAACAGTATTTGGCCGTAGTCAAGGAGATGAAATCGGACTGATTGGATAAAAGCAACCAGGAGTAACCAGGATATTTAGAAAGGAGTGGGGATAACAGTTCCTGGCGAGCGCCTGCATAGAGAGGGCAGTAACGCCCCTTCGTCCTATTCTTCCTGGTCCAGGGCATGTCCCCAAAATAGGACCCCCAGGCCAAGACCGGAGCAAATATCTGAGGCTCTGGGTGCGAATCCGGCCACAGGGCACCTTCTCCCCATCCTGTTCTCCCACTGGTGCTGGCTCTCTCTGCGGGGGAGATCCTGCAGGGCTTTCTGACCCCCCCCCCCATTTTCCTCCCAGGGGAGCCCGAGGTGGGGAGGAAGGCAGCCCCCCTCAAACCAAAGAGGACGCGGCGAGCACAGTCCTGCGACAAGCTGGAGTCCGATCGGAGCCGAAACCCGGGCGCTGGAGGTGAAGCGCACGCGCCCCGCATCTGGGGTTGCTGAGGGGCGACCGGGGTGCCAGGGGGATGTCCTGGCGCTTGGGCCTGCTCCGCACTTTCGGCTGGTGAAGTTTTAAGGGAGCTGCCATCCTAGGAAGCCATGCCCAGGAATCCCAGCGTGGGGTGGACTAGGAAGGGCAAGTCGCTCTGCATGTTCTCAGAGAGCCTCTCTTCCCCTTTAGCCCCAGGCTTAGTGCAAAAGTCTTGGCCAGGAGCCCGAGACAAAGAAGGATCGGGGCGGGGGCTGCCCTGGATTGGGTCCCCAGGCAGAGCGGGTTGGGGGGCTCCAACCCTGGAAGGGTCAGCGGCGCTGCAGTGGTGGGGATTTCGGGGGGGGTGGGGGGCACGGCTGGTCCTGGGAAGCAGCTCTCCCTGCTTGCCTTGTGTGCATGAACTCCTCACTGGGCACTTTCGAAAGGTACCCATCAAGGTGTGGAGCCCATCCCTGCCGCACCCGGCCCCGTGGCTAACCTCCTTCTGTTTCTCCCTCTTTCCTTCACGGCCCCCCCTGCACCCCCAGGCGCCAGAGACACGCCCCTGCCTGACCCCCCTCCTGCCCCCCCTGAGTGCAACCCGCCCAGCTGGAAACCTCGCCCCGCTGTCACCCACCCTCTCCTCCCAACGGACCCCACCGCGGGTAGGTATGGGCGCCCTCCTTTGCCCGCTGTGGGACGACAGGCGATTCACACATGCTTTTCCCCCCAACCCCCCCCATCTCCCCCCTTTACAGCTCCCTCTCTCTTTAGGAACACCCGAATCTGGGACAGCGTGATGGACAGGCGCTCCCTTGATGTTCTGGCTGCTGGAAGCTGCAAGGTCTTCTCATCTTCCGGCAGGAAGAGCGAGGGGACCCGGGAGCTATGAGGGGAGCGAGGAAGAGGCATGGGGAACGCCCCCCAACAGCTCTCCCTGCCACGGAGAGGGGGCAGCCCCCCGCCCCGCACAAGCCGGCCGGCCGGGGACAGCCAGGTCTCCCCTGCCGCTCCCCCCGACCTGTCCCACCCCCCCGTTTGCGCCTGTTCTCTTTCCTCGCTTCTGGGTCGGACCCACCGCTGTGCCCGAGAGGGACCTGCCACCCCCCTTCTCAGCCAGGGTGGTGAGATAAAAGCCACAGTGGATTCCCCCTCCCTTTGCCCAACATACTTGGGGTGCGGAGACTGACCAAAACACACCTCTCTGGAAGAGGGACCCCAAGGACGCCTTGGTCTGCCCCCCTGCTCTGTCTCGCCATCCTCAGCCCTTCCTCCCCACGGCCCCCACGGCTGCCTTTCCTGCATTTCACCCTCCTTCCCTTCCTCCATTCTCACCGTTCTATTTTCAGCTTGTACAAAAGAAAAGAGAATCGTAATAAATTATATATGGAAATTAAAAAACAAAGCAAAACAGCAGCTGTCGGGGACTTCATGGTGTGGGCCCCTCTTGGGCGCTTCCTGACGGGAGCCACCTTGTGGGGGCGGAGCAGCACTTTCCGTTCCTGGAACACAGAGAGATTATGTATGACTGTTCGGATTCAAAATCCCGAAATCTGCCAGAAAGGCTGCTGGGGCAGTTTCCCACAAATCCCATTCACCCAGGCAGTTCCTGTCCCAGGCCTACAACCTGAAGACACGACAGGTGAGGGCAAAGGGATGCGGAGGGCAGAGGAAAAGAGTAGATTCGTTCTGGGAAGGTTTGATAAATCAAGTTGATTTTCTTTGTCACTGGATGCCAGTGAAAAGGGCCAGGGGGGCTCCAAGCCTGGTGTTCAGAGCACGACGACCCTTCAGAGCAGATCTTCCAGAAGTCCATTTAGTCCCAGTGAATTACTCTCTCCTAACCCTGACATGGGTTCTTGCCCAAGGGAAAGAAGCCTTCTTGCTAGCATAGGGCACCTTCCCCAACCTTGCACCCTCCATAGGTCAGACTGCAATTCCCATGATGCTGCCACGAGTCACTTGCAAGAAAGGGTGAGGATGAAAATGTGATTCACTAGTACAGGAAGAAGAGCTCAGTTGGGGAACATGGGCTTCGTGCTCAGAAGGTCCCGCAGTTCAGTTTTTATGGGATTTCTGTCTTCAGCGAAGGGCAATTTGGACTGAAGAGGCCCCCTATCTACCCCAGTTGGGGTAGATCAAACAGATGCGCCATGACCCAACTTGGGACTGGCAGCTGCGAATTCTCGGGGCCAAAACTTGGCTGAGTTTTGAGTCGACTTGGATCTTGCCAAGAGATGAGCCCAGGCAGACCCTAAACAAACCCCCCCAAAAGAGAAATTAATCCGCCGGATTCATGTGGCTGCGCTATTCGCAAATGGCCAGCAGGTGGCGCCAGGGATGCTGTTGGGAGGAAGAAATGCCGCTCCTGAAGGGCAGCCAGAGAAGCAGGACTGTCCTGGGCGCTGGATTTATTCTCCCTCTCCTCTCTCTGTTTCTCTGGCGCTGCTCTTCTGCGTCCTTTCCAAGATCTTTAGTCTCCTGTTTCCCGTTTGCTTTCTCATCTTCAAAGGCTCCGGGTCCTGCAAACACGCCGAACCCGCTATTGTTCTTTTCTGCAAATTAATCCGTCGTCTAATTCAAACCAGTAGAAAAAAATGCTAATTCTTCTCCTAAGAGCCACCTTGGGGCGGGGAGGGGGAGAGTTGTACCGGCGAGGTAATCTTCCCTCACAGGCTGCTCTTCCTCTTGAAATTTGCCCTGCTTAATCAAGGGCGTAAGTCCCTACATGTTCAGCTGGAGGGGAGGCCTACAACTCCCAGCATGCCCCAGTCAGTAGAGCTACCTAGGGCATGCTGGGAGTTACTTGCCTTTTTCTTTAAACGTGCTTAGACTTGTGCTTTAAGTTGAGGGGGAGAAACTTCCCGGTGGGTGTCGTGTGAGGCAGCTCTGGGGCTCTGAGAAATCGGTGCTGCAGCCCCATTTTCCCAGCTTAGGAATCAGTGCTGCAGCTTTATCCCCTTCCAACCTTGTTTCTTTCTCTTTTCCAAAAACACCTGTCTCCGTGCTTCAGGTGAGTTCCATCAGGTTTTAGGGTCCCAAGGTATGCAGGACTTTATAAGTTAAAACGCGTGCCCTGGCTTGGGAGCTGGGGGTGATGGGAGTTGTTGGCCAAACTACCTGGAAAGGTACAACTCCCCCCTGCCCCCGGGTTGAGCCACAGGCTGAATAAGTTGGACCCCCTTCTCAAGTTTTCACAAGCAGAAAACGGGGTGGCTCTGGCACCTCCAACTGTTGTTGAAGAACTGTCGTTGCTCAAATCCTCTCCAAGGATCATTGCCCCGCTGGATCGGATCCTACATTCCGCCTTCCCTATGCTGTACTCGGTATTTTATGGCAGTGTCGCCTCCAGTCCCCGCTGGCTTAAAAAGCCAGGGGGCCGTTCGTGCTGCCGGAGAAAGACAAGCTCAGAAAACCGCAATTTGCCTCACGAGAGGCGATGGGATTGCAAGAGATGCGGGCAGCTGCGGGGCGTGGGAGCCACAAGCTGTGCGCCCCACGGCCTTCCAGCAAGAGGCAGGACGGATCCTGCTGCGAGAGAGACCCCCAAAGTGGGGGGCGAACCCTGAAGCACAACAGCAGCAGCAAGTCCAACCCGCGAAGCACCGCAGGGGTGCACTGGGCCACGCACCCTCCCTCCGGACCACCTCGTGCGCCATTTCCCAGGCTTTTGTGCAGGAGAGGCGTTTTACGGCCTGCCTCTTCCTCCTCCACTTCCACACTGAGATGAGACCCTCAAAAGCTTCTCTGAAATCAGACCCAACTTTCCAGCCAGAAGGGTCCAATCTCCCTCTTCAAATTTCATTTTTTTATTAGATGTATAGCCCACTTTTTTATTTTTTAAAGAACTCAAAGCAGCTTGTGTCATTCTCCTACTTTCAGTCTTATCCTCACAACAACAACCCTGTGAGGTAGGCTGGGTTGAGAGGCTGTGACTGGCCCAAAGCCGCCCAGACGGCTCCATGGCTGGCTGAGCAGGGACCAGAACCCAGATTGCCTGAGTTCCATTCCCATATTCTTAACCACTAGGCCACACTGTCTCTCTTCAAGGTGACTTCATGCCCAAAACCCCCGGCCAATGTAGGGGCCAGGAAACTAAGATTCTGATTCTGACTTCTTCAGGGCTGAACAGAGCACAAGCCTTCGGGGACAAAAACTGTCTGAGCTTCTGCCCACACAGGTCACCCCATAATTACAATGTGCCAGTGTAATTTGCATTGGATTTCAGAGGTCCTGAGCTCAGGTTGGATCCCGCCACTTCCCCAGGACTTCCCAAAGCTCTGACACCTTTCCTGCTCCTACATCTCTTTCAAGAGCCCACTCCAAATCCCAGAAATTAGAATCATTTAGGAAAAGCTGCCCATGTGGCTTCGGAAGTTCCTTGGTCATCATGAGATCTAGAAACTTGCTTGAAAAACAACACAAATTGCCAACATTCCGAGGGTGTTATTTTGCCGTCCCTCTTTGGGGTCAATTTGGAACCCATGATGTGCTGTCTTTGGGCATGAGGGGCTCTCACCTGGTCTTCCTGCGCAAGTCTTGGCCCTCCATGGCTTCTCAGTGGCCACGCCCCTTCCCATGACCCCACCCCCTCCCATGAACACAAGTTCCTAACTTTGGGGGCATTTCCCCCCATTCTAAATTTCTAAATGGCCTCAGTGCCTCTCCCTCAGTTGCATAGCCGGAAGTGTGGCTTCTAGATCAAGAGAGGCATTACTACCACTGTATGCGACTCTGGTGCGCCCGTAACTGGAGAATTGTGCTCAGTTTTGGGCCCCCCATTACAGGAAGGATATAGCCAGGTTGGAGTCAGTGCAGCGAAGGGCCACAAGGCTGGTGGCCGGTTTGCAGGGGATGCCGTATGAGGCGAGACTGAGGGAACTGGGTCTCTTCAGCCTGGAGAAGAAGAGACTCAGGGGGGATCTGTTGGCGACACTCAGGTATGTGAGGGGGTGTCACACGGAGGTGGGTAGAGACCTGTTCTCCCCTGCAGAGGAAGGCAGGACGCACTCCAACGGAGCAAAGCTCAGGGAGCCAAGGTTCCGTTTGGATGCCAGGAAGCACTTCCTGACAGTCAGGACCCCAGGGGTGTGGACCGGGCTTCCCCGGGAGGTGGTTGAGGCCCCATCGGTGAGGGTGTTCAAGGACACGCTGGACGTGCACATGGTGGGCGTGTCGTGAGCAGAGCCGGCTGGTGCCAGAGGTCAGACTAGATGGCCCGGAAGTCCCCTTCTGACTAGCTCTGCTTCTATGTTACCCACTGTCAAGAAAAGCTTTATTATTATTATTAAACTATCAGTGAAAAATTTGGGCCCGCCCCTTCTGCCTTTAGCCCCGCCCACCCATGGAATGTGGCCCCGGAATGTCTCTAAAGTGGGCCCACACCGCTGTGCCACGGTCTATGGAGGAGCACCACACCCCCAAAGTGTATGCCCCAGAACCCATTTCTGCGTTTTTCTTGCTCCCCACCGGCTGGGCCTGCATCTCTCTGCCCCCCTTGGGCTCCACACAGAGCCCTCTGGCTAGGGCAGGCTACAGATAGCCTCCCATGCAGCAAGGAGGAAGCGGATCAAAGCATGATTTCCACCAGCAGCCCCCAGAAATTCCCAGGGAGCCCCAAACGGCAAATCTCCGCCTATCCTCTCTTGGCATCACCAGCTGGTTTTCAGGGGTAGACTTCCGCTGTAGCTGGAGGTTTGAAGGACGGCTTGGATCCAGATGGAGGGGGAGCTAGGATCCTAACCAATGGGATAAGTCAGTCCCGAGGCAGCCCTTTAAAAAAATTAAGGTAATTTTTAAAACGTAAAATACAATCAAAAGAACAACACACAATAAAAATAACGCATAACAACGTTAAACATGCAATAAAAATAAAATGAAAAAACCCCCTGCGCATCCCACCACGGGGCGCGTCGGATGCGCGTTCAAAGCCCTGCCAGCAGTTCTTTCGAAAAGCGCTGCTGAAGTTAATTCGGGTCGAGGCACGAGTCCCGGCAGCGCAGCGCAGCGCAGCGCGGCTCCAAGGGCTTCACGCGTGCGGCAGACCGCGGCTTTCCGGCGGCCGCCGCCCCCCGGCCCGGTGGCTCCGGGGCAACGGAGCCGCGCGGGGACGCCCGGAAGGGCTTGCCCAGCTCCCGGCGCCTCCGCCGCCCGCCCCCCGCGTCCGTGGGGGAGGCGATCCGGCCCCGCATCGCCTTTGGCACGGCGTGCGCTGCGCCTTCCCCGCGAGGGCGCGGCCGGCCGGGCCTCTGGGCGCTCCCCCCGCGTCCCGCCACGCGTGGCTCGCCCCCCCCCGGGCGCGCGCGTGGCGGCTCCCCCTCCCGTGCACTGCGGAGTCTGGCGAGGGGGAGGAGCCCGGGCGGGCGGCCTGGGTGCGGGGACGTGACAGCCGCAGAAAAGGCACGG